CTAAAGCCCGGATTTCGAATATCGTTGTGGTTTACTTTGATGCCGTATCCATTCATTCATTCATTTATATATTTTCAAAATTTTCTTACAAGAAGAAAGTTTACCTGCAAATGAGTATTAGGATAGGTAATGAACTGTTGTAAACGATTATCCTATTAATTTTATCCATATTACGTTTATCTGTTGCACAGAATGGTTGTTTTTACAAAGTGTACCAATATCCGGATGTTGAAAGCTATCCGATTTTCTGCAATTACTGCTGTCACATGGCCATCTATTTTTTATGAATACTTTACCATTAATTTGCATGGCTTAATAAAACTGAGCCTGCAACATTTCATAATTTTGCTGTTTATGGTGTTCTTTTGGGTTTCAGGTTTTCTCTATTTTAAGGGGAAGTAACTCATGTTTACTTAATTATTTGTTCTTTTCTGTCTATCTTAGGTATTACTTACTATTTTTGTTGTATAAAATTTTGTAAAACAGTTGTAAGGTCATCAAAAGCATAGAGTCCCTGATGAGTGAATATTGATAGATTTTTATACTGGCTTTTTATACCTTAGAAGTTTGTTCAGTTAGTACATACCTACAGGTAATCTGCTAGAGGAATATTCTAATCAATATGTGAAACTAATTATTATTTTCTATGTGTTTGTATATAAATTGTTAATAGAATAACCTTTGGTAAAAATGAAAGGTAGAATATTAAAGCTATACATATAGGTGCTCATTTTAAACACTTGATATATATATATGCAGTTAGTTATATTTTGTTTGTTTGTTTGTTTCATTTTACACCTTTTTCAACAGTATTTCAGTCATATAGGCGGGTAGTTTCCTAACCATCGTTCCTAGAGAGTTACACCAGTACTAGACTACCTTCCTCCGCCCTAAACTACCAAAGCATCTCCCGGGGATCGAACCCACGCCAGAGAGGTAACTGGATTAGAAGTCATCGACTCTAACCCCTCGACCACGGAGGCGGTCAGTTAGTTATATAGACTAAGTAAAGTCTAATGGAAGGTTAAACGAGGGACAGTATTTGTTACTGTTAGAGATATGCATTTAATGTTTAGACACTCACACAACTCAATCTTTATTATATGATATAGACTTTTTGAGTTTTTTTTAACTTTTATACTATACAATAGCATGTACATTATAGTTTTCTTTCTACAAGATTATGAATTCCATCCAAACACCAATGTTAATACTATAACATGTAGACTGATCAATACATGTATTATCATTTATAAATTTAAATGCAAGTCTCATCCATCATAACTGTAAGTCTTTAAATACAGAAATGCACATTATATCCATTTTTTTTCCTTATTTATTAATTAAGAATTAATTATCTGTTAATTTAAAAATCTAAAAGTATCTGTCACGGTTTAGAACTGTTCACTATTTAGGGTAGAAAATGTGTAAGCGGCCAGATAGCCCAATCGCTACAGCCGCGATACATTATTCTGTGGGTCACAGGTTCGAGTTCTGGTCAAGCTTAAAGTTTTTCTCATCCTTTGACTGCATATAACCATGAGTTTAATTCACTATGCTCTGTAAACATCAGAAATTCCAGGACACAAATCAATATAGTGGGGAAATATGTTGTGGTTTAGAACTGTTTCATTATTAAAGAGAAAATGTGTAGCCGGCCGGAGAGCTCAGTTGGTCTGAAAGTCATGGGTTCGAGTCATGGTCAGGCAGTTTCAGTCAGGGTTTAAAAGTGGTTTTTCAACTGACACATGTTTGATTCATTTAACAGATTGCATTAAATTTGAAATGGACAAAGCAAGTATTGCATGATACTTTTAGATCTACAAAAGGCATTTGATACAGTTGATCACACCATACTGCACATTTCTACTTCAGCATCTGCCATATGTAATGACATTCTTACATTGTTTAAGTCTTATCTCTGATAGACCGCAGCTAGTGGATATGGCTGGTATATTCTACTACTGCTCTGAGTACCTATGGTGTTCCCCCGATGTTCATTTTAGGTCCTCTTTTATGTCTAATATATGTCAATGACATGTCTGCAATCCTAAGCAATAAGCTTTTATTATATGCACAGGCACGAGTATCATCCATGGAAAGAAAACATATGACCAGATTGATAAAAAACCTGTGTTTATCTTAAAAGTGTCAAAAACCAAAAACAAATGTATATAATGACCCCTTTAAAAATATGCTTTAAGTTAATAGTATATTTTAAAAGGGGGTCGTTATTTACATTTTTTTCTTTGGTTTTTGACACTTTTAAGATGAAAACACTTTCTTTTATCAATCTGGTCATATTTTTTCTTCCCAGGTCCGATACTCGTGCCTGTGATTATTTGCTGATGACTCAGGTATCCTTGTATCTGGTAAAATAAATCTGAAGAAATTCTTTCTTATAGCATGAGTCTTATAAGATTGGTTAATTGACTATAAATTGTCTTTGCATCTTGGCAAGACAGAGTTTATTCTTTTTTGGTTTAAGTTTCAAGTTAAACTGGGCCTAGCCTCCAGGTAACATATAATGGTACTGCTATGAAGTACACATCTTTTGTTAAGTATTTAGCTGCAAACCTGGATCAAATTCTTTTGGCGTCGCCCTTTGATGCTTTGCATCAATGCTTTTCTTGTTGTTTCACTGTTTTACTAACAAAAATGCCGTAATGTTAATGTACATGTACAATATGAACTATTGTCACAATGAGGTATGGTATTTGTTTTATTTAACTGAAAACAACCTAAAAATAATTATAAATAAGAAAATAACTGTAGTAAATATATACAGAATTGTTTCAAATATTACCTATTTCCGAGTAAACCAGCGAACCTATTTCCGGCAGAATAGTAGAATATTCTGGGTATTTATTGCTGAGTTCACAAAGCTTCATCCCCGGTTTATAATTAAAAGACAAACTGCCAACGTCATTTCTATATAACACTGTACACTCCAGTAACGTGCGCACCGTCTTTATAAATGTAACATCCGTTACGCGAGAGTTTTCCTGATACAATTTTATACTGGTTGATGAGCAAAAGAAATACAAACGTATTAAACACATGCAGAAAAATGCTATGTGTTTCGCAGGAATCATAGTTGATCATGTGATTAAAAATGACGGAAAACTAGCCCTTATTGTATTTCTTTTCACAGAAAATTAAAATTATAAATCTTAGGCATATATATGAATTCTATTATTCGGTATATTTCACTGACAAATGAAATTCATATGAAAGCTTATGTACAAATGAGCTTGTAATCAAGAGACGCTGTATTGAATTGTTGCATAGTTACAGCATCACAAACATTGTTTGATTGTTTTAAAGTAAATACGTACTCTTTGAATAATTTTTACCCATGCCTCAAATAAAATTACTTTTTAATGTGTAAATAGAAATTTTGTGAAAAATGATACTTAGATATCTATTGAACTGAACCCAAAATGTGGACGAAAATATCGAGTGGAATGAAATATTTCGAATACAATAGACGAGTAAAATTACTGTTTACTCTTATATCTCCTATATACTATATACTGCTTAATATCACATATTCTGAAACAATGAAGTAATTTAAGAACTCTATTTATAAATGTTTCATAAAAGATTTATTAGTACGATGACACACATTTTTTTTTCATATTACTCAAGTCACTTTACTGATAATTATATTTAAATGCTATAGAACATTCTAAATAATATAATGTGAATAATTTTCATTGATAGAAACTGTTTTACTGTTTTTAATAGTATGTACAGTGGCATTTCACTTTTTACAGCAAATTGAACAATCGTGTTTTATTCCTTTACAGGAAATTAGGAAAAATGTATACAGTGTAACTTAATCCATCTATCTGTTAAACAAATTAAACAAGAGAATATATATATATATATATATATCAAGTGCAGATATTGTTAAAGAATGTTATCCCATATATTAATCCATATTAATCCCACTATAGAACAGATAAAATGAAGAAAATAAACAAAACAAAAACAAAACATCCGTAGAGGGATCTAATGTCTGTCTCTGTGATGGGTTATTGTTAAGTAATTTTAGTAAAACATTTGATGTTAGAGTTCACATATATATTTATATAGATAAGAACAGTACTGATCGTCCCATTTGTTGTAGTAGCCAAGCCAGACACAATCTCTGTAATGTGGCTCACCAGGAGCCCAGTTCTGAAAATATCAAAGTCTTATATTACAGTTTATCTCTGTAATGTAAATTAAAAGTTATAAATATCTGACCGGTTAAAACATCAAACTAATGAATTACTAACTAATGATAATTCTAGATTGAATATTTCATACTATACTGTAAAATTAACAACAAACAAGCCACACAAACACAAACATTTAGTAATTATTGATTGCATACGTTTTGGCTGTATGCGACCACCCTAATGGGCACAATAAGGAACTTGAAATTTGACAACATACTGTAGGTAAGATGTAAACCTTAAAAGATGTGCGTGCGTGCATGTGTGTGTGTGTGTGTTTCCGCAAATTCTTACATTTTTCATTCATTATTGTATATAAATCGGTGCGAAGAAATGAATAAGACGTTTTTAAGTTCATTCCTTTGCGTGAAAAATTGCGAGATTTTAGCATTTAATCATTCAAGCCCCTTGTCCGGTATATGCCGAAATATGGTATTGTGTGTGATGCTCCAATCCATTTTTAGTCTCCCTAATAAGAGAAACTATATAAGCATCACGGTAATCCAATGATTAATCATCAAACTTCGGTCTTAGATATGTCCTTGGCAAAAAAAATAGTTATGGCAATTTAGGTATATTAGCTTAAAACTTGGACTTAAAACAATGTATAAGTCCCAGCTTACACAGAACTTATCACAACGTAGTTACATACAATTTCAAGAGAAAAAATTAAGCATGTCACCTATTTGGAAATTTGGCTATAAAGAAGCCACGTATATGTAAAATATTCACATATATTTCTTTATATTAAAATATTAATATACAGTACTCACAGTGTAACCTCCGTCTATACTTCTACCATCTACCCATATACAATTCTTTACATTGTAACACCGCATGCCTATCCAGTGTTCTAAAGCTAAACCAAATTTAAATAATATTCATATTGATTTCTTTTAATTTTGCTTCACTATCAATACTCAAAAAGAGGTGGGTTACAAAGGATGGTATTCAAGAATTTGAAAATGAAAACATTCATCTCGGGTTAAGAAATATATATGCAAAATCTTTAATGCGTATAATCCTAAAATACCTAATATGACCATCCTTGATATAAACTAACGCACAAAGACAGACATTTGTATTGTTTCATTTTCTATTAATAACATACTTCCTGCAATTGTTTGGATAAAGTCATGTTCAGCCTGATTGTCAACTATCAACAGATGTCCCGACATCCCATCACATGCTGACTGGTGAGTAAAAACAAACAAACACATATGAGCCGTGTCACGACAAAACCAACATAATGGGTTTGCGACCAGCATGGATTCAGACCAGCCTGCGCACCCGCGCAGTCTGATCAGGATCCATGCTGTTCGCTTACCAACTCTATTACAAGTAGAGGAACTGATAGCGAACAGCATGGATCCTGATCAGACTGTGCGGATGCACAGGCTGGTCTGGAGCCATGCTGGTCGCAAATTCATTATGTTGGTTTTGTCATGACACGGCTCAATTATTATGATTTCAGAATGCTTTCCAGCATAGGTATTTTCATTTTCTAACTGGTGTACCATTATGTTATCTGATACAGGAGTGTGAAGTTGGCGACCCAGCGGCCTGGCGGCGTGAAGTTGGCGGCCCAGCGGCCTGGCGGCCAAAATTTTAATGTTGTAGAAATGTTATTTTAACAATAAAACGACATTTAATGAAGTTTTGAAGATAATTCTTGTTTAGAAACAGCTAATAAATTATAATATGTATGTGTTTAAATCATGTGAATGGCGTCTATGAATTTTATCCTTATCCTGCCAAGAAGTCGACCCGATTTTATTAATTAAAGAAGAAGAAATACATGTCGTTAGATATTCGGAAATTCCCGTGTGCATTTATCCCTGTGTTGTAAAGTTATAGACCTTTTATCCAAACGCGTATCTGAAATTTTCCAGAATTTTATTGTTGAACAACAAGGTGATAATTTCCTCTCGGTTACATTTTGTATTGCTGGTTATTAAAGAAGACTAAAAACATGAATGATTGTTAAGTTTACGAAAGAATATATAAATAAGTAATTACCTTTGCATCAAACCACGTGACCTTAGTAGTGCTGATGAAATAGTCAGAGGCATCTGGAAAAAAAATGTTAATTAGATTATAATATAGTGTAATAATTTTCTCTTATTCTATTGTCGATCTATAATTCTTGGAATCTTGCTTTAAAGGCGCCTCGTGGAGAGGTTGTTTTACAAGTAATACAAAGGTATGGTAATTTATTAGTACACATTTAACAGACAATTGTCAAATCTTTATATGACCATTATTAAAATACTTACATATATTATTTCTAAATATAAAATGGGTCATTTATTAAAATTAATTTAGCGATGTTAAATAGCTTATTTTCATTGGTATTCATTGATGTGGTTTCTTTTTCCGTGGGGGGATTCGATTTTTTAATTTATTTATTATATTACCAAGACTGAATAAAATGAACAATAAACAAAGTGTTCAAAACCTTGACCAAAAAGTTCGTAATGTTAAAAATTGAATTATTTGCCTTACCTAGACACGCCTGTGTAATACATACAATATGCTCATAATCTTGACCAGGACATGGCTTCCCCCCGTTACTTGCTGGTGGACTCGTGCAGGATCTAGTCCTTGTTCTTATGCCATCACCACAAGTGACTGAACATGAGCCCCAGTGTGACCAAGCTGACCACGAACCGTCCACTTGATTAAGAAAGTAGGAATCAAAAATTATTTTCATAATGAATATAAAGTGAAATCAAAACTTTCCAAAACACTTTGTGTTTATTAATGAACATTATTTGCCTGTATATCGTAAAGTCATAAACTCTGGGGGATCAAAAACATTTTCAATGCTTTAATAATAATGGTAATTGCACAAACCCTTTATTCTACAGATGATGCTACATTTTGAAAGACTTTAACATGGAACTGTTTAGGGCATGTTATAATATTTTTTGTCTCACCATTTTTCTTTTACATTTGTAAGGCCTTTTTTCTCTGAATAATAATTATACAAGTAGTGATGAAATTCTGCATATGTTATTTTTGCTTCGTTTAGTCATAATGTATACTAAAGATACAAAAAAATCAACAGACATTTTTCAAGTTGATATAATTTCATAACCGATCTACTTTACACGATTTGAATAATTAATATACGGTGTCGGATTTCTCAATTTCTTCTGTCCCGGTTATAACGAGACCCTGTTATAACGAGGAATCATCCGAAGTCCCGACGATCTCGTTGTATCCGGAGTGCACTGTACGTCGTATTGTTTTTCTCAAAAGATGACAGCCCTAGTTTCTCAAGGATTATATAGAAGTTAGAACAACGTTTAATAAAAGTCACTCATAGAGCTATTGTAATTTAATTGTATGTCATTATTATAAAGAATATTTTGGAATATCTGGAATAGCATAAAATTGTTTCAAATCTTACCTATTTCCGAGTAAACTAGCGAACCTATTTCCGGCAGAATAGTAGAATATTCTGGGTATTTATTACCAAGTTCACAAAGCTTGCTACCCGGCTTATAATTAAAAGACAAACTGCCAACGTCATTCCTATATAGCACTGTACATTCCAGTAACGTGCGTACCGTCTTTATAAATGTAACATCCGTTACGCGAGAGTTTTCCTGATACAATTTTATACTGGTTGATGAACAAATTTCATGCGAATTAAAAAACAATGCACACATAAGTAGTGTGTATTGAACAGAAGGCATTGTCAAATCAGTTATCATGTATAGAATATGATGTATATAGATAAAATGTTTTTATTAGTATAATTACATTCAATGAATAAATATTGTATTATTCACATAGTTTCCAAATAACATAAAGATTTGAAAGAATATGAATACTGAAAAAAGCGAAATAAAAGTCTAAAATCCAGCGCAATATAAAAGTTAAATTAATGCCTTTATTATTTCGTATTTTTCATCATTAGAATCAAATTTGTTGTAACTTAGCTTACATTATATATTTAAATTAAAACTTTCTTCGTTACTTAAACTAGTCAGTTTTATTAAACTCACAAACTAAAGATTATCAGCATTTAGGCTGTAATCAACAGTTGCTGGGATTTATTTAAATTGACATAAGTAAGAAAATGCATGACAAGTGTTGAACAAATTTGCTCTAGTAACTTCCATAATATGTTAAATTTACCGGTAACGAAAGTAAACAATAGTTTTAATGTCCGGAACGAGTTATCCAGAAGGTTTTATTTACCTTTATTTTTTTCTATAAAGTTTAAAAGTATTCGATTTTTAGAATGTGGAAATACTGATTTGGCTCCTCTTTAAAGTCAATAAAGCCGTTATTTTGATGCAGTACACTATTATATCTCAATAAAAGGATAAATAAAAATTTGACACTACTTAACTATTTAATGCAGAGGCACTCAGCATTGTACAGTTTACAATTTACAAGCTCGGAAACACCGAATGCGGCCCTATTTTTGAAAAATTTACATGTGACTAAATTTTAAAAATAATCGTTTCCTGTAAATGCCCAATTTTCCCTTTTAAATTTAAAAACCCCTTTCGCAATTTATACCATATTTAATAATTTAAAATTGGCAACTTTTTCCGAAAAATAAACTCATCATACTCCTACAACGCTGATTTTCTTTCTGTAATATTTGATTCAGTACCATGTATGTAAAAGGAATCATAAATATAACACAATTGTAAATTATACCACCCTCGCAGGTACCCATTTACACCTAGGTGAAGTGAAGCAATCGCAGGTAAATTTCTTGCTTAAGGAAATTAGCAGTGCCCCTGGTGTGGTTCGAACCCGGGACCACTCGATCCCTAAGCGCGCGTCCTACCACTGGACTACTGCTCCTATGTATTTCGTGTTTTAACCTTTTATGTTCTGACACATAAACATCGATGTGTGGTATTATTCATTATACACAGAAAGACCAAGTAAAAGCTGGACAAAACTTCTTAAGGTCATGTACAAAAAAGTTTGGAGACTAATGCAGTAAGGGCTATTTCTGCATGTTTTGACCTATTTTTTTGGTAAATTTCGTAGATTTTTATGTGCTATTTGTGATGTTTAAATTACTTTCTTTGTTCACATGACAATATTTTACTTTCTTATTCATTTTAAAAAAATCATGAAAATAAGCATAAATCTGGAGGCATGCTGCTTTAACCAATAAACTATTGTCACTGTATATATGCTATAAATAGGAACATATGATAAAGTATAGTTTCACATCTAGGTGAATATATTATACATTGTGTATGATGAATATTTGGAATGATAACATATCAATAATCTGGTACTGGCTGGGCTATATTATCTATAAATTCACTGTATCTTATCTGACCACCAGTAACACCACCATCTCTAAACAATGCTTCCACTGAAAATATAACAAAAGTCTGATAAAATATTCTATACAACAATTGACATACTAGTCTTTTTTGTTTTAAACATATTTATTATAGCTCAATTGCGAAACAAGGTTTTACAACTTATATTAATCACTTTCAAGTCCACTACCTGGAACGAACCAGTACTAGTGGCATAAGGAATCATTGATCGTGACCATAGTAGGGCTCATGATTCCTGGGTTGAGATGCAGCCACCTTAAGTTTTTAACCACTCGGCCACTGCTCCCCTCTTATTGCCCTAGTAGTTGCTTAATTTAAGCTTGTACCTCTCAATAATAGTTATAAGGGGTTTTACATCATGCAGACACTGCTGTTACTTTGATTGAGTTCAACATGAGAAATAATTAGTCAATAATGAGTCAGGTCAGTTTGAACATATGATAAAATCTCTGGTATAGGTTGATCTTTGTTCGCGCTGTCAGATGGTGAAATCTCCTTTTAACATTAAGCACTATGCTGGTGCTAAACTGGAACCCCAACAGTGACCCAGCAGTGTGGGAACAGCTAGAAGGTTTATAAAACTTGGCTAATTTAAATTTATGTTGTTGTTTTCTTTGTGTGTTTGAATGTAAAACTTAAGACAGGCTAATTCTCTGCTCTGTAGTGCAACTGGCTTTTTGGGATGGACTTTTACTCCCTTTTACACCCTTGGACCCTTACTTATGTAACTTTTGTACAAAAACACAAAATGATGCTACATGTCACATATACACGTATAAGCTCTTTACACTTAAGATTCTAAAATATTTATGACATGATTACTATTTTTATATTCTTTGTAGCATAAGTGACCCCAGGACAGGGTTACTTTTGTACCCAAGGAGCAAGATTTACACAACTTTAAAGTGGTTTACTACACAATGCTTCACGACCAATATCTTAGTACTTGGCATCACTGGCATCACAGGTCCACACAAAAGGACTTTAAATATGTTTTCATTTATATGTGTTTATGAACCAAGTGACCCCTAGTGTGGGACAAATCTTTGCCTCATGGGCATGATTTATGTAATTTTTGTAAAGGACCACAAATTTATGTCACAGGCCAAATATCTGAGCTATTGGATCCTGAGGAGCAGATACTTACATTTTTACATTTTTGAAGTCTATCTTTAGCTCTTTTGACCTACTTAAGAATCATATTGGAACCATTCTTATAAAGTTTGAAGAGAGTCACCTAAGGATCATTTCTGTAAAGTTTGGTCAAAATCAACCTTAAAATTTAAGAGGAGATCTTGTTTAGAAAAATATGTTGTTTAGCAATGACAAAGAAGGTACACATTGCAATCACAAAAGCAAACTTTTGAGCACTTTGTGCACAGAAAGGCTAAATATAACGCTGACTTTGTATGATATAATGTAGAAGTATGAATTGATGATAACAATTTAATTTAATCACATTTTGTATCAAACATGCTATGCCTGATAAAGACTGTGAACATTCATATATATATTTCTAAACTTTTCCCCTAGTCAATTATCATTTTTTATCTGTTTACTGATCTGAATGTATGAAGCTTTAACTGACAATAATGTCTTACATTCTCTGCGTGACACCCTCTCTCCAAGATTCAACAAAATATTCTTCACTTCATTAACCTGTACATAACCTTTGCCCTCTGTGTCATGTGCTGAAAGTTAAAAATAGTAACAATCAGTGATCCTCGGTGTCATGTGCTTAAAGTTAAAAATAGTAACAATCAGTGATCCTCAGTGTCATGTGATGAAAGTTAAAAATAGTAACAATTAGTGATCCTCAGTGTTACGTGCTGAAAGTTGAAAATAGTAACAATCAGTGATCTCAGTGTCATGTGCTGAGGGTTAAAAATAGTAACAAATAGTGATCCTCAGTGTCATGTGCTGAAAGTAAAAAATAGTAACAATCAGTGATCCTTAGTGTCATGTGTTGAAAGTTAAAAGGACAGCTAACATTTACAATAAAAGTATAGATATGGCAGAAAATATACACAGACATAAAAATCCTCTTTTTCAATGCATTTTTTAATTTACTCATCTCCAGTTTGAACAAAGAAATATTAACAATTCCTTAATGTCTGATTACCTTTTCCTTCATTGGAAAAATACAAAACTGTAACACATAAGGAAGTAAGTTACTTATCTTTCAAAGAAAAGTTTAATACATAAAGAAAGTAAATTAATTAACCTATCTTTTAATGAAGAATTAAACACAGAAAGAAAGTAATTAACTTATCTTTCAAAGAAAAATTCCATACATAAAGAAAGCAATCTATTTCCTTTAAAAAGAATTATGAATCAACTTCTCTTTTTGAGAAAGCAGAAGCAGTTAATACCCTTTAGAGGTACTATTGCACATAATGGTTTCAGAAATTTTGAAATAAAATGTCAACAAAATTTCACCACATTCCATTTATATGGAATAAATATTTAATACATGTCTTGCCTGATGAATAAAATTTTTAGTAAAGTACAAGTATTTGCCCTTTCATCCTGCTCTAATTATATTTTATATTTTGTAACATTGACTTAATTTAGAATTCAAACACAGTTTACACACCAATTCACTGGTTGCAAGTAGAACAGTTGGTGCCTAGAGTGAGTTTTTCATCCTGCAATTGATTGCTATACACTACTAGTATATAATAGAACTTTATGTCTAAAAAAGTGACATAAAAGAAAAATATATCTTGTTAAACCAGTTTGTGATAAACAGCAGTATTATCTATTATCTACCTCAAGTGAGGCATAACAACTGTTACTGGTTGCACTTATGAAAACTGCAAATTTTACTTTAATTTGTGTTTTATAAATGTAAGAAAATATGTTGATGTTCTTAGACCTGTTATGTATGGGAGTGTGGCTTTAAAGGAACTCCACCGAGCTCAAAAAGCCTGAATACACAAATTTTAAATTTTAACATAGATCAAGTAAACCCCTAAAAATGGAAAAATCCACACAGTATAATCAGTAAATATACTAAGAAATAAATTCACTTTCAATTTTGTGTTCAATTCATAGCCTGATTCATGTGAAAATCTTTTCATTTTTAGGTCATTTTGCAGACTAAAACATGATAATTCTGGAAAAACTTGATGAGGGAATGAAAATTTTGTGCACAAGTTACTGCACAAGACCTACATCAAATCTGGTTAAAACATATTTCTAGTTCCGTTGTGTTAAAAGCCTTTAGTAAAGTCCCTTTCATAAGATAAATGTCACAATTAAAGTAACTTATTAAATTTTACCTCTAAAAGCATTTGTTATCTCCCTTATTGCATTCTCCTTTGCGTTGTGCTCATGCATGACTTCCAAAAACGAAGCAAAATCTACCTTCCCATCTGTAAATATACATGAAAAAAAGAATGAGACTATAAATAGTGTTGAAGCACCACACTAAATACTGGTATATAGCAGACAAAGCGCTTGAATGATTAAATGCTTAAATCTTCCCTTTCCACATGCTGAAATGTTCATAAGATGTCTATTTCATCTCTTCACATCAATTTATATACATGTATACTAAAATGAATAAAAAAATGTATGAATCAGCAAAAAAAAGATACTTATCTACTTTTTGAAGATGATTTTTTGCAAGCATCTAGAGGTACTGCTCAATCATTGTAGTGAGTTAAATCCTGAATTTTATCCTGAAATCTTATGTTATCATAGTCTTAACTTATCAAAACCTTGGTTACATTGTGCTAAAGTAAGGCATAATAAATATACGGTCACAATATTCACATCAAAACTACACCCTAGTTATGTCCTATATAATATGATTTTTTTAAAGTTTTTTTTGATATATATGATCAGTACATGTGCTGGGATTGACAAAATGCATTTTATTTGGATTTTAAAGGCGTTTTGAGCTCCACTACCCAAGTGTCTGTGGTATTTTATCGTTATAAGAATAGGAATGTCCATTATAATCGATATAAATTATATACCAAAGAACGTTTGAAAATTGAAAGTTATTATTTAATGCAGCTGATGTATGCATTAACCCAAAACATATTCAAACCATAGTTTATATTTTGTTATGAAAAGTTTCCATACAATTGGTTTGCACTTTATAAATGATACCATTATACATGTATGACTATATGAGATTAAATGGAAACAACATGCTTTGAGAATTTGTACATGTACTTTATTTCGCAAGTTATATCTTACTCGTACAACGCGTGTTTAATAAATGTCTTTGTTCCAAAATTCCAAATTCTGATTTCTTTACCATTGTATATTAAAGTCACGTGATAGTGGTATAATTGTCCCGGGTATTGATTTCAGCCTATATACCTTTTGAAATGTGACTTTAAGGGTGTTTCGTTAGTATTCGAAAGACAAGGCTAATGTGACATATTCATAAGGATGTTGTTTTCTAGACGATGATTCATAGTTTTCGGTGATTTTATTAGTATAGTTTGTTTATATGTTGTGTAAAAGTTTTACTCATCATGTATCGGAAGAGTTTATTTCAAGTATTCTTTTATATTTTCGTCTTGTTACGTGTTTTACCAGTGCATTGTCAGACAGGTAAGAATTTAGATAAGTTAATTTGGGAAGACAAAATGATTTAAATTCATATTCAATTCTTATAGCTTTTAGCATTAAAAGGATTGTATAATAATAATAATAATAATTATAATAATAATAATAATAATAATAATAATAATAATAATGATAAGAAGATACTAACAATTCTTATTATCATTTAAAGAAGGTAAAACATGAAGATACACCCTCGTAAAACACAAATAACATATCTAAATTTTAAATGTGGCCTTGTAAACAATATACATGTATAAAAATACACAAACAAAACAACATCTTCAAAGAATAACAACTATTCCATTTGTCAATTTAGATTTGGTCCTATAACAAACATAATTTGATTGTTTTGACAAACGCTCCTTTTAGATATTAACATAGCATTTATGCAACTTTCTTTATACACAAAATTAACAAATTAACATGCATAATAATTATGTATTATAACATAATGGCATAATGACATACATGTAGTTATGAAGATATTTATTTGATCTGCAAGATATGTTTTTTATATTTATTTTTGAAAAAAAAAATGTCACAGAAATTAGAAGAACGTATATTAAATGATATTCTATTCCAAATCTATATCATTTTTTTTTATGCCGCGATATTTTTTCTCTTTTTCGTGAGTGTGTTAAATGGTACGCCGTACTTCAGTAATCTTTTATTTAAATGCAGTTGCGTGCAGATTGTTATCTGATATGGCCAATTTAGGTTATTATTGATGTATTCGGTTTTTCTTGCATAGCAGACTGGCGTTTCCGTGAGTTTTACCCATGCCGGAAATTTCATCTGGCATGGGGGTGCCAGACGAGTCGCATGCCAAACAACAACGTCATTTTAGCGCACTTTATGAATGAACCGCGTTAAAATGACGTCTTTTTAGAAGGGAAATATGTACTTATGATGACGTCATTTCACTGTTGTAATTTAAGTTGTAAGTTCATACGCTATTGTAAGAAAATAGTTATGGAGGAAATGATTTTAATTTCCATGAACATAATTATATCGTATTGAGGTAAACCATTTTAAATATGAAATAATATGGCAGAATATGCAAGAAAAAATATCTGACATATGTTTGCGGTTCGGACCGGAATATTCGTCCCGAGGGGACCCGCCCATTGGGCGGTAACGAGGCTTAAACATATGACAGATATTATTAATTCAATCTAGTCATACAATTGGCGGCTTTTGTTGTAATGTCGTCTACTAAACTAACACTGAATGACAATGTAGTGTCTGTAATTTAAAATGTATGTAAGAGATGCGGTGTCTCATAGACATACCTTAGATATACATGTAGTAAATACAACATAAATATATAGAGATTATTGAATGACAATATTTAAAGTTTAATACTAAATTTATTGAACGATTTGAATAAAATCATATTATGCGAGCCTCTAGCGAGCATAATATTGTTTTATTCAACGAGTTCAATAAATATAGTATTGAATCTACACGAATATAATATTCTATTTATTACATATGTAAAAAAGAACAGTAAACTGTTAAAATGAGTAATTTTTCATTGACGCGCTCATAGTGTAACGCTAACATTAGCGCGCTTTAATAACGCTATGTTTCCATATAGCGCAAATGACGTCACGTCAAAGTGTTATTACACTAGTGTTATATCGTTTTTATTAATTAACAAATAATACATGGCCTTGAGGGCAATATGCAAGTTTTTGGACTGGTTGGTCAGACTGAGGAAGGTATATGGCCCGAAGCGCAGCTGAGGGACATATACCTTCAGAGGTCTGACCAAGCAGTCCTTAAACTTGCACTTTGCCCGAAAGGCCATGCTTTATTTGTTATATTATAACGAAACTAAATCCTTTCATCCCTTTTGTTGCTGACATTTTTACTATAATTTACTTTCAAATAATAATTCATTTGTTCAGTGTGTGAAATATTTCAAACCCTAGTCGGAATTATTATTATTATTTTCAAGCGATACAGCAAAAAAATAATGTTCTTCTTTTGTTATTCAATTTTTGTAAATCAAATTAAACAGGCAAAAAAAATGAACTTTAAGATTTACTATGACGTCATAGTCTACAAGTAGTCTAGGGTTATTTGTTTTGTTTTTATTATATAAAATAACAATGATAAGCTCATCTCATAGTTCAATTACTGAACAGTTAAGCGGTAAAAGCAAATAAATGTTAAATACATGTATGTTTGCAGCTGAATGTGCTATTTTTGCGTAAGATATGTTACATGTAGTTTTGTATCTTCTTGCACTAATATGATGTGCTGATATGATTAACGTCACTTCTCTTCAAATATTGTCTTATGTAATATATATAATTTTACATCTTTGAAATTGTTCTTTTTTGTATAATTATGATGCTTTTCTTTGCTTAATGTTGTTTCTTTTCATTGACTGTCTTATGTTATATGTATATCTTCGAACATTCTGAGGCAATAAAGATGTATATATATTCTTCTGAGTGACACTCCTATATTTCTCATATATTAATATTCAGAGAACAATTGTCACCAAATACCCCGGTGCATACTCTCGGGGTTAATGTTGTTTTATTTTCCATTTTCTCTTTTTGGGTCGGTTGGGAGATGGGCGGAGGAGAAGCTTATACAGCTAAATAATAGTAAATAATTTACTATAGAAAACAGTAACTGTTTGCCAAGGCCAACTTGTATTGGGGCAGATTTGTGCCATGTCGTATATTTGCGGAGAAAAACACTGAAATACGTCAGTGTGACCAATTTGTCGTACTTAAGTGTTTATGCCTTTCGACCCTATATGACACTTAAAACTGAAAACATCTAATATGTAAATAAACTGTTAATTTAAAGCTTTCAAAAACGTCATATGACACCGAAAAATGTATAACTCAAAATACATCATTTGCAGTTTCTTAACATTCGTAATTTGTTAATATTAAAGAAAAAACACAGACACTTGGGGTGTGGACCATAAAACGCCTTTAAAATCCAAATAAAATTGTTTTTTTTAATCCCAGCACATGTACTGATCATATATATATATATAAAAGTTAATATAAGCCGTTTTGAAAAAAATCCATATTTCAACGTCTACAATTATAGAACTTATATTAAGTTTTTTTTTTTATATATATATATGATCAGTACATGTGCTGGGATTGACAAATATACATTTAATTTGGATTTTAAAGGCGTTTTAAGCTCCACACACCAACTTAAAAGTTGTCATGAACTGCTAATGTAAAGTGGAAAGATATAGGTCACCAATTAGAAATATGGTTGAGTGTATAAATATATGTGTAATATAACTTGATTTGTCTGTAGCTAGCTACTATGTCTGTCTTTTTTAAACAACAATAACAGATCCTGTCCTGCCATGTACTGCACTGCACAGCACTGTGTACTTTACTATACTATACCGTACTTATCACAAGTATCTGATATTAATATAATGCCTATTGAAGAATTAATTTTAATAACTTACAGAATCAACAATCGGAGACTGTAATACCCCTCTGACACATGGACTTCGAGACGACCAGTTTTCGGCATCTTCTGAATATGATGCTACCCATATTGCAAGTTCAGCGAGATTTGGAGGAGGTAAGGTTACAATGTTATAACATACAAACATTTCCAAGGCATAATGGGCCTTTAAAGCCCCATTTTGTAAAAACAAAATTGAAATATTACCCATTAATCATGATTAGTGTTATTTAGTGTGTTTCTCAAAATTTGCAGGTGGCAATCAGTTTATAAATAGCAGAAAACGGTTTTCAGTAAAATCTAAAATTGTCGTCTGTCT